TGGACATTTTTAATCTGTAGCTCTGCTCTAAAAGAACGTACGTACCTGGGCCTGCCTACTATCCTCGGAAACGTAAAATGATTGGCTAGAAGTGTATCACAGCTCAGGAAAAAAAAGCACAGAAATAAAGCACCGAAATGTGCGCTGCTTTTCGGTCTGGTTACTACCGTTTATGTGATGGCACCGGACACCGGTACCCATCCCTAGTGTTTACACAGCGTTTTGCTTCTGAGCTGCAGTGGAGGCATAGTAACTGTGTTGATATGAACAGGTTATTGAATACTATACTGACATTTAGATGATGTGTGTAGAAGTCTGACATGACGATAAATATACACAATGATAGAACTAACAACACAGACCAAGTCACTACTCGTTTTAGAGATAGGTTTGTTCATCAGCACGTACTAATGTTGAGATGCACATTTAACACTTAAACACATCTGATTGGATTATAAATAATTCTTTATTCAGTTTATGGGATTGCAGTTTGTCAGACGTCAGCTGTGCTGCTTTGGTGTCCGCTCTCAAGTCCAACCACTCCCATCTGAAATATTTGGACTTGAGTCTCAACAAGCTGCAAGATTCAGGAGTGAAACACTTATGTGATTTTCTTCAGAGTCCACACTGCAGATTGGAGACTCTGAGGTCAGTTTACTTACCTCTCTCTCACTCACCCTTTCGCTCCCAATATATGATCTGAAAAAATTTTCTTTTCACAATGTATTCTAATATATTTTGAGGATGTCCGGTGAAATGCTAGCATTTATTTTATTTAATTCAGTGCAACATCACAGTAGTGTCTGATAATTTCATCATCATCATCATCATCATCATCATCATCATCATCATCATCGTTTATTTATATAGCACTTTTAAAACACACAAGGCTGACCAAAGTGCTGAACAACAGAAACATAATAGATAGCATAAGAATAATAAATACGATAAAATAATAAACATAGCAAAAACAATAAGATACAAGTCAGTCAACCACTGAATCAAAAGCCAGTGAATGAAAATGCGTTTTCAATCTGGATTTAAAAGCCATCACTGATGTCGATTGCCTAATGTGAAGAGGAAGATTATTCCAAAGCTTAGGAGCCACAATAGAGAACGCTCGGTCTCCTCTCAGTTTCAACCGTGATTTGGGGACTGAGAGCAACAGCTGCTCAGCTGACCAGAGCGAACGAGTGGGGACATAGGGCTTCAGCAAATCAGACAGATTGCCAGACCATTTAAAGATTTAAAAACCAATAAAAGAACTTTAAAATGAATCCTAAATTCAATTGGAAGCCAGTGCAGGGAGGCCAGAACCGGAGTAATGTGCTCAAATGTCCTTTTACCAGATAAAAACCGTGCCGCAGCATTCTGTACTAGTTGCAGGCATGTCAGAGTGCCCGGTCCAACCCCTATTAAAAGGGAGTTACAATAATCCAAGCATGAGGTTATAAAAGCGTGGATAACAGTCTCCAAGTCACGCCTTGAAAGAAAAGGTTTAACCTTCGACAGACACCTGAGTTGATAGAATGACGATTTCACCACCCCATTCATGTGGCCATCAAGGGTAAGTGCAGAGTCGATTTTTAACCCAAGATTGGTAATCGAGCTCTTCAGGTGAGGGGTCAGAGCAGCAAGGTCAACATCAGGGATATCAGAGGAACGATTCGGGCCAAACAGAATTACTTCCGTTTTACGTTCATTAAAATTGAAAAAGTTTAGAGCCATCCATGACTTAACATCACTAAGGCAATCAAGCAGGAGTCTAATTTGGGAGCTATCAGAATGACTGAAAGGAAAATAAAGCTGGCAATCATCAGCATATAGATGAAATGAAACTTTATGTTTACGAAAGATCGCACCCAGTGGCAGGAGATACAATGAAAACAGTAATGGCCCAAGAATAGATCCCTGTGGTACACCCCATGGCAGAGGGGCCACAGAGGATGATGACGAGCCCAACTTAACACAGAAGCTCCTGTTTGAGAGGTATGATTTTATCCACAGGAGTGCAAAGCCAGAAATGCCCACACAATGCTGTAAACGAGAGATCAGCAGGTCATGATCCACTGTGTCAAATGCAGCAGTCATATCTAGTAGTATAAGCACTACGTGTTTACCACAGTCCGTCGCTACCAGAATATCGTTCATAACCTTTATGAGAGCTGTCTCTGTGCTATGAAACGTCCTAAAGCCGGACTGAAAAACTTCAAACATATGAGAGTTGTTTGGATAATCCATCAGCTGAGTGTGAACAACCTTTTCCAAGATCTTACTCAGAAAAGGAAGTTTAGAGACGGGTTTAAAATTTGACATTACTGAAATATCTGAGCCTGGCTTCTTAAGTAAGGGATGAATAACTGCATGCTTAAACTCACTTGGTACTTGACCTGACAAGAGGCTGGTATTGATTATGTTTAAAATATGTGGTCCAACAGTAGGAAACACCTCTTTCAGAAAACGCGGTGGAACGACATCATTCGGAGAACCACATGGTTTAGCACTTAACACAAGCTTCTCTAGTTCAGGTAGAACAATCGGTTGGAAAGCAATAAGCAAATTTAAACAGGGAACATGCACAGCCGGGCCAACAGAAGATAAAGTGGAGGGTCTCAAACTGGCAACCTTATCCACAAAGAAATTAAGAAACCTATTACACGTAACCTCTGAAGATTGCAAAAGAACATGATCCTCTGCATTCAGTACAGAATTAATGGTATTATACAGAACACAAGGGTTATGTGAATTAACAGCAATAAGTTGTGAAAAATAGGAGTTTTTGGCGGTCTTTACCGCCCTCTGATAAGCTTTCCAACTTGTCTTAAGAGCTTCCAGAGAAACGCACAGCCTGTCCTTTTTCCATCGTCTTTCACATCTCCTACATTCTCTTCTAATGGCTCGAGTAAAATCAGTTAGCCAAGGGCTGGCCTTGGGTTTACACTGCCTGAGTCTTAGAGGTGCAACAACATCAAGGGCAGATTTACAAACAGAGTCCAGATGAGAGAGTAATCCATCTACGGAGGACGACTCAGAGGGACTGGACACAAGTTGTTCAAATAGTGTTGAAAAATCCTCAGCAGTATCTGAGCCGAAGGTACGATAGCATTGCATAGGTGCAACCCGTTTAACAACAGGACTAAGAGGAACAACGTCAAATAAAATGGGCATATGGTCAGAGAATACAGCATCCTCCACATGTAAGTTACAGACAGATAACCCATATGATAACACCAAATCCAATGTGTGACCACGTTCTTGAGTGGCACCTTTAACAGATTGAACAAGATTAAAAGAATTCACCAGGTCCATGAATTCCTTAGCCAGGGGCTTCCCTGGGCAACAGACGTGTATATTAAAATCACCGAGTAGCAGGACCTGGTCATACTGGGATGCACAGTCAGCGAGAAACTCCGAAAACTCAGATAAAAACTCCTTGTTATATTTAGGAGGCCGATAAACTATTGCACACAGCAATGAAGGCGAGTGGCCAAGTTCACACAGGCAAAGTTCAAAGCTGGTGTGGCGTGTCCATGAGGATAGTTGCTTAAACTCAAAGTGTGATTTAAAAACAACAGCTAACCCCCCGCCATGACCAGAAGCTCTCGGAGCGCTAAAATAAGCACAGCTGGCGGGCAGCAGTTCAGAAAAAATGCTTAACTCACCGGGTGAACTCCAGGTTTCAGTCAAACAGAGGAAATCCAATGCATGGGAAGAAAAGAAATCCTTCAGGATGAAGGTCTTATTCGCCACCGATCTGGCATTTATTAAACCCAACCTGAGGGGAGCTGGTTCGGAGACCTCCGCGGCAGTGACAACCAGATCCACCAATCAAAGGTTTGATCGGTCCATTCCCCTCCAACACAGATGCCGAAGAGGGAATGATTTAACAGGGCTGCTCCCGATAGAGCCGACAACGGAGACCAACCAGGATCCAGTGTACGCGATGGTACCAAGAGTCGTGGAAAAGATTGACGAACAGAGCGTAGATCGTGAGGAAGCTAAGAAATCTGGATTCTCAGCTTAACGAGGCGACCTCCACGGGTACCCCGTCTCCTGCGTCATTTCCGCATATCTGGTGGCAGTGGTAGGGGATGCCAGCGCAATGGTACTGCTTCCAGGTAGGGAGGCAGAAAACCCTGGCTATCTTTACCAAACCAAACTGAAACTTTGGTGGATAAGCCGCTTTCCAATAAAGTCTGGCGATCATACGACAGTGTTGAACTGACATGTTGCACAACATTAGCTAAAAACAATACAATCAAACAAATAAAAAGGAGTGGTTGACGGCATGCCAAACACACAGGCGCCATCTTAAAACACATCCCCCATTAACACTGATTGATCAGCACACACACACACACACACACACTGACCTGTAAAAGCTGAGTTGACCATTTTTATTTTTTTTGCTAGCTTTATGGTGTTTGTTCCCTTACGTGTCTTTTCTGTCTTAGTCTTGTCTCTGTGTTTTGTCCTTAGTATCTCATTTGTAAAGTCGTTCTGGTCTGGTCCATGCTTGTTTACCTTTCTGTTCTTGTGTCAAGTTTGTCGGGTTGTGTCTGTGTCTCCATGTTAGTTTTTCCTGTTTTATTTTGACAGTTTTTTTTGTCCCTTTTTTAAAATTCAGTTTTACTTCCAGTGTCTTCTGATTGATCCCAATTGTCCTGCCACCTATTTCATCCTCCCTCATTATCTCGTGTCTCCCTCTGTTTATTGTCGTGTCCTCCTTCATGCTGTGTGCCTTGTGTGTTCGAATTTCCTCGGCTCTTGCCTTGCCCCAGTTTTGTATTTTGGTATTTTGTTCCTTTGAGTTCCAGCAATACAGCTGCCTATGTATTTGAACCGTGTCCCCTGTGTCCTATATACTGGGTCCAAAATTTGAAGCACAGTACTTCATGACACCACAAACTGATAATCAGTTAATCGAACGTATTTGATTAGAAGCATGTAACTTCTGCTCACCCTCTTCAATTTTTCGTCAGCAGTGATAACATACTTAGAGTGTTTTCACATCTATGCACCATACATTTGGTAATTTAATAATTACAGAGTTTTGGGAGGTTTCTTATACAATAGCGACTTACAACTGGGCATACAGGTTATAGGTTGACTCAGGAGATCAGATTAGATTATAAATGATTTTATTTATATGTTTTACTTTTTATTCAGATTGTATCGTTGCGGTTTGTCAGTGATCAGCTGTGCTGCTCTGGTCTCTGCTCTCAAGTCCAACCCCTCTCATATGAAACATCTTGACCTGAGCTACAACAAGTTGCAGAATTTAGATGTGCAGCAGCTGTTGGGGCTTCTGAAGAGTCCACAGTGTAGACTGGATCTTAGGATCTGAGGTCAGTAGAAGGTTGGAGTGGTGCTCCAGTAATATTTTCCTAAACAGAGTTTTATGAAAGCAAAGACCCAGTGTTTCCTGCAAACCTGAAGCCTCCAATATATCCACTATCCTCTGCACATGTCCAAGCCATTGCTTGTTTTTTCAACACTATACAACTTGTCAGTTTCATCTCTGTCACAGTTCTGGAATCACTCTGACTAAAGCCTGCAAATCAGTGGCTCTTATTTCAGAGAACCAAAATTGCATTTAGTAACCATTTAATACTCATAGAGAGCACAAGTTCTGCCAAGTTCCAGGAAACATATTTATACATCTGTCTTGTCAGTGCTTTCAGTTCAGTAACAGCATCCATGTTTATTAGTCAGCTGATATTTCAGAATCAGATATGTTTATAAACTAGGGCTGTCAACATTAACGCATCATCACGGTTAATGAGCTTAAAATTTTAACATGTTTAACCTATCTGGAGTGCAGAATGGACAAACTTTGGAGAAACTGCCCGAAATGCATTGACAGAGACATTTCAGGGATTTTGAGTTATTCCAGATGGGTTAATTGTGTTAAATATTTTAATCACGTTAATCGTGATGACAGATTAATCCGCATTAATGTTGACAGCCCTATTATGAACACATGAAGACTCTGTTTTAGTGGAACAACAGGAAATGGTCCACTCTTGCTCTGAACATTAATCAGGTCCCTGCTTCATATTGGACATTCTGCATTACTGACAGACAGGAGATGGTGATGACTGTCAATATCTGTAAACAATCAGTTAGAAAATATGTTGTTTTTTTTCTGCAGAGTGAAGTCATTTTGGTAAACAAGACAGCGTGTGTGCCAAGAGAGGATAAGCTGTGTCTTGATGATGTTGAAGTAGCATTGCTCTGACTGGGCCATGTTACTGGGAGGTTGAGTGGAGAGCAGAGCTTCATCCAGAAGTGACTGACAGAGGAGTCATCACCTCACAGAAGCTGTTTCTTTCAGGTGAACATAGATAATCCATCACTAAAGTGTTTCAGGAGTCTCGTGATTTATTTCCACTGTGGACTTGAATGACATCTGCAGATTTGATGGTAAAAATCTCTGCAAGTGTGAGCATTTAGCTTACTAAGTTCAGTCCAACATGACTGAACTTCCTTTTAACATTCAGAGCTGAAAAGGAAGCTGGCTACACTACACAGCTCCTCCCCGACTCCTCTCCTGCTTTCTGCACTGGATGTGCTGTCTTACTGACTGACGGCTGATGAAGAGTCCCTATGGAAACACTTGATTCACATATCAATTCTGTTATAGTGGAAGGACTCATTCTTCAGTGTCTGACAGATGAATGGGACGATGTGCAGATGATTTTCAGTGCTGCAGAGTGAACTGCTCTGTGAACAACTCCACTGTCAGACATGATGTAGAGTCCAGCATCACCCCTGTGTGTCCCTCTGGATCATTAGTGTATTTGAACTGTTCTGTCCTTGTACACACAGAGAGTCCTCCACCCCTTCTGTTTCACACTCACGCACCTACTCAATCTGTATTTTATTTCATCTTTTTATTCACGGATATTCTGCAGCCAGAATTAAACTACAGATCATGTCTGCTTAGGACATTTACAGAACAGCATTTACAACCATGTATACAGTGCAGAGGCAGCTTAGTTGGCTGTCAACCCTTGCAAAGTGTCTGCTTATCACTGTTTCTTTATGTTGTAATGTCACCCTGTGGAATGATTGAGAACTGCAGTTAATGTTCAATTTATATCTCATGCGGGCACTCTCCGTGCGCAATGACCATTCTTTAATCAGGACAGGGTTATATTTGTGTCCCCCTATGACAGGAATAAGAGGCTTTTATCTAGGCTTTTAAGGTATGGACATTGAGGCTGTGGACAGCTACAGGTACCTTGGTGTTCATCTGAACAACAAACTGGACTGGACTCATAATTCAGACGCCCTCTACAGGTAAGGGCAGAGCAGGCTGTACCTGCTGCGGAGACTCAGGTCTTTTGGAGTGAAGAACCCACTCCTGAAGACCTTCTATGACTCTGTGGTGGCCTCAGCCATCTTTTATGGTGTGGTCTGCTGGGGTGGCAACATCTCTGCTGGGATAGGAAGAGACTGAACTGGCTGATCTGCAGGGCCAGCTCTGTTCTAGGATGCGCTCTGGACCCAGTGGAGGTGGTGAGTGACAGGAGAATGGTGGCTAAGCTGTCATTCCTGTTGGACAACCTCTCCCACCCCATGCTGGAGACTCTGACAGTACTGAGGAGCTCCTTCAGTGGCAGGCTGCTGCACCCACGGTGTGGGACGGAGAGATTTTGCAGGTCTTTCCTCCCCACTGCTGTCAGACTCCACAACAAAGACTTTTGCTGCTGATCAAACACACACAAACCCACACATGTGCAATAAGACTAAGTGCAATACTCTTTTTTGACAAAGTTGTATTTTTACTCAGTTGTATATAGCATTTGTATTCTATTTTTATCCTATTGTATATGTCTGTGAAGGTTCTCAGTCATCCAGGTCATCGTAGTCAAAGGAGCTTGCAAAGAAAAGCGTCTGGACTTCTTTAAGTTACTTGAAGACGTTTCACCTCTCATCTGAGAAGCTTCTTCAGTTCTAAGGTCAAATGGTGGAGAGTTCCAGATATAAACCTAGTGGGAGTTTCCCACTAGGTTTATATCTGTGACCAAACTGTTGTTGTTTGTTTACTTACACAGCATGTCTTGTAGAATTAACTGGAGTCACCAGCAACAGCCTAGTGCAGTCATATCTCAAGTCTAATAACAGAAGACAGGAAAAGATCAGTAAAGATTGTCAACACTGAAAACAATCAGTAAGCAAAGACAACAGGGATCATTTGTTTCTGTTTATTTAGCACCCACAACATTTGTAGTCGCCTTCTGCACAGGGGAAGTCCACACACACTGTGTGGTACCACTTTCCACAGAAGGTGCATTCAGTCTGCAAGATTGAATGGGATTGTCAGAGTCATTGTCTGACTGTTTATTACTAATCACTGTGTAAATGCTGTACATTCACAGTAACTGCCATCTCCTTACAAATGATCATTAGGAGTAACCATACTGTATGTAACAACCAACTCTACAATGTTTGTTCGCAGAGAAAAGACACAGGCAGACTACACTAACAACATGTGATGTTACAACACTAGTGAAATATTAGTGTCATTTCATTCTTTTCAAAGGTTTATTTGCATGACGCACAAACAGACACAATTGAAAGGTACAAATGTGCATGACACGAATTCAAACGTGGTGCAGATGTGTGTCACAAGTTGATCTGGCTGTAGGCTGTGGCACTTGGCCAGAGGTGGCGCTGGTTGACTCGAGTCCATGTTAGTGCACAAAGTAAACTGCTCGCTGTAGTTGTGATAAGATAACCTTTATTAGTCCCACACGTGGGAAATTTGTTTTGTCAACAACATCGGCGTGGTGTTAATTGTTTGCTGTTTTCGCGATCGCGTCGCGCATGAGGATATCACCAGGTAAACTCGCCACATTTTTAAACATTTTGTTGTTCAACAGCATCAAGACTGACGGAGTGTGTTTGACATAACCTCACAAGTGTCACAGATGCCACATTTGGCGTTTTTTTGCTGGTTTGTCGGTAGCAGCTCCTGAAACGCAAGACTGCCACACATCTGTTCGACCAACGCCAGTTGATCTAAACGCCAGTAGATCTGGAACACCGGCTAGGGTTTGTTTTTAGCCTATCACAGACTCCCGCCCGCTTGCCGCGCTTCCGCTTCCTCGCGCAACGCTTCCGATGTCCCCACCTCCGGCCACCGACATCAGGCAACGCCGAGGCTTCGAGGCCTGGTTCGCGGAGCAAGCCGAGTTCACGCAGCGTTTCCCGCAGCCCATCCTGGATGTCGTCAACCGGGTTATTTAGGTTGAAAAGTGTCTGGCTGTTGTATGCACGAACACCGACACCAATTGCGACGATATCCATACATAGTGCAAAATAAACACGCTACACACAAAAACGTAAACAATAAACAATGCAGCACCACTTTGGCTCCGGAGTGGCCGCTGCGTGCTACTGCCGCGCCGCGGCCAGAGTACCAGAGTGCAACAAAAGTAAAGTGCCAAATACATACCATAAAGAGAAACAAAATTAACACAGAGACACACAGCTTAGCTGTTGATGTGCAGCAATCAACACAATCTGTGAAGTGTGACAGAAAAATCACCCCTCCGACAGTCAAACCCATCTGTTCTCTGATTGGACGGTTAAATTTGTGATTGACATGACATTGGTCAATCAGCTGAAAGGAATAAAAACTAGAAAAATTTGCATTTCCTGCGAAAATGCTGTGGATGCCTTGTAGTGGAATCTGCTGAAAAGAGCGGAAGAAGTAAAACTATGTGCTGAAAAGAGGTAAATAAACGCGTACTCAGCTCTGAAGCTTTGTCAAAGTTTGCTGTGTCTTTTT